CACCACACGCATAAAGACACCCATATGTATAGCTGCATACGAGCTTCCGCATTAATACTCACATCGAAATGGAGGCCAATGGAGCGAAAGAACGACTATGAACCCTGAGATTTGAAAACGAACCACCCAGTGACAGAGCTTGCCTTTCAGCTTTCTCTACACGTGAGGGACAAGGGGACGCCGCCGCTCGAATCCTGGGAGTATTTGGAAGTCATTGTCACCGATGCCTTTGAAGCCCCGCCTTACTTCTGCCTCGATGGGCGGTGCACTCAGACCATCTACATGAAAGGTTAATGACTATGGATTCTCAGCTATGATTTTGTTTACCTTTTGTAGGTTTATGGGTTAATTGTCGGCATTTGTATAGATGCTGATATAAATTGTACATATATATATATATATATATATATATATATATATATATATATATATATATACATATACAGACGCAATTTTCGACGAATACACACACACACACACACACACACACACACACACACACACACACACACACACACACACACACACACACACACACACACACATACACACACATACACACACACACACATGCACACACACACACACACACACACACACACACACACACACACACACACACACACACACACACACACACACACACATATATATATATATATATATATATGTATGTATGTATATATAAATCCCCCTCTCCTGTCATTCCGCTGGCGTCTTCTCATACAATACTTTGTTTCGGCCAGCGTGTGAAGTAGCTTCGAAAAAAGTTTTAGAAAACACAAAGCTCAGGTTTTCGGATTTCTCACGGAAAGGAAAGGCGAGAGAGGGAAAGAGTATTAAATTTAATGCACATAATTGGCACAGATGCTGTTGAAACCAATCTTAGAGCTACAACGGACTAGTTCTTTTCTCGTACACAGACCTTGCCTCAGTCTCCTGTAAGTTCATTTCAGTGCACTGCTAAACTTTTCACAGATGCACAAACTATGGTATGTAAAAAAGGATTTAGGTGATTCCAATTATGTGTTGTGCAGTATAGTATTTAATAATGTCAGCACTAAATCTGCAGTCTACTAAAAAGTTCGTTTAGTGAATATATGAATTTAGGTATAATGGAAAGGTATGTACTAACGGTATGTTTTTTTTTTTTAACAAAGCATTGGAAAGCAAGCATAACGGTTATCTTTAATCGACCGAAAAATATAGATATGCTTAAAGGTTAAAGAAACACTTCAGTAGCAGGATGGCAAGTGATTTATTTACAGGAAAATCCGCATTTTGAATAGAGTGTGTTGTATATCAATGAAGTGTCCTGAGGAACCTACAGCGAGTGTTGATATCATGATATGGGATACCTTGAGTTGTGGTGCATCCTGAGAGTTGCATTGTTCATTTTATGCTGAGCTTAAGCTTTGGCAGAACTTTCGTTGATATTTCTGCATCTCCTTTACTTTCGCCAGAATGGAGAAAGTAAAAGCAAGTAAAAGGTTTTGCAGCTTGGTGAGAGAATTGCTGTTTCAAAATATACTGCATTTCGAATAAAGTTCACATAAAAATCTGTTTCAGTATACAGTAGTCATAAACAAACATTTCGTTGAATTTCCAAAACCTCTTGGTGATAATCAAGTGAATAAAAAACTAATGTTTGACTTAATAGCATTTCATCAGTAGCATCAAAGCGTGTATATATTTATCCAAGATCCTTATACACTAATGGAAATGGGTGTATGGAAAAGATACACAGTTAGCTTCATAAAAAAATGCTTATTGATGGTCACCACGAATAGGTTAACCCTCTCCTTCTTTCACTTTGTCTTGCTAAGCATGACCCTCACTTTCGTCAAATCTCCCTAACTTCAAAATTTCAATCACTTAGAGAATGACCCCGCCGTGGAAGCCAACTTCTTGGAGGGAACAGACACAGACAACATTGATTTCGATCCAAATGACCCTGGGACCTATCAGGAAGTTTATTATGACATTGTAGGTAAGTCTGCACCTCTTCTTGTACACAAAGGGTTGCGGTTCTTTGAGCTTTAGTGATGTAGTGTGACTTAATGATCATCACAATATCTGGAATAATTTTGTTATATATAGAGTGTTGCAGATTATTTAAAATGAGTATTATCTGATAAAAAACATGATCATCACGATTTCTGGAATAATTTTGTTAAATATAGAGTGTTACAGATTACTTAAAATGAGTATTATCTGATACAAAAACACAATCAATGTCATTCTAGTACCCTCCAAAATTATTTACAACACTAATACAGAGATAAGATTTCCCACTTACTAATCACCCGTAAAACCTTGAAGGAGGGAGCACCAATTTCTTCCAGCTGGGAGACAGGACGAAGAACACCATCCAACTCAAGAACCTCCCCCAGGGGCTCGACCGCGAGGGCATGCCCGAATACCAACTCTACATCGACGTCACCAACGACCCCGCCACGCAGCCGCCCATCTCCGAGGTTATCGCCAGAAACTATACTCTTTATGTAAGTTGCTTGAGGAGGGGGGTGCCCTTTGGCTGTCTTGGCATGGAGAGACGAGTCAGCTTTGAGTCAGCTGGTCACTCATGCAGCGTTTAAATATGTATATCTAGCTGTCTATATATTTATCGGTCTGTCTATCTATCTATCTATGTGTATATATATAAACATGTATGTAGGTATGTATATACGCATACATGTACACCTGGTATATAGGTATTATGAAGATTTGTTTGCTTCCATACATACATATGTCATTGTCCACTTTATTTGCATTTCAGTTGACAATCAAAGTCCAGGATGAGAACGACAACTCGCCAGAATTCCAGAAAGCGATTACAATTGCAAGCTTTACGCAGAATGATGAAAAGGGCAAAAGAATTGCTGTAATTCAGGTTAGCAAGAACGTTGTCGTTAGTATTTGATGGATGTGTGTGTGTGTGTGTGTGTGTGTGTGTGTGTGTGTGTGTGTGTGTGTGTGTGTGTGTGTGTGTGTGTGTGTGTGTGTGTGTGTGTGTGGTTACCAAAATAAAAAAAATCCTTATATTCTTTTATTGAAAAAAAAATCATTAAGCTTTAAATTAACTAAAAAGCCACTCTCATTTACTCCTAAGCATATGTATTTTCCAAGAAATATTTCCCATGATTATATTCCTGACCTCTGAAGCTAAAGGAGCAAGGCCGTTCTTACAGGCCACCGATCTCGACCTGAACGAAACCATTACCTACGACCTCGGAAAATTCACCTGGAATGACACGGATGGAACGGCGCCCACTGAGGAGCCATTCAAGTAAATAAATAAATAAATAAATAAATAAATAGGACAATAGATAAACGAGAACGAGAGTAATGATACTTATACATACATACATGCGTAGATATACATTCATACAATCATACTATACGTACACACATACGTATAACACATTCTTCTCTTAATACGATGACTTTTGTCTTCTTTTTTTAACTTTCCATACTCTCACTTGCAGATTAGAGAACGGTGCAGACCTGATTCTTAATTTTAAGCCAACAGGATTGAACAGTGGATACTGCACATTCCCTATAAATGCATACGACAAAGGTGGGTTGTGTTCATACAGTAATTGACATATTTAAACTATTTTACTGTAACAACTGCCAGTAAGATACTCTTAGACAGTGTTATGCTGTTGTTGTTTTTTGTCCAGAGATACAAAAAAAAATGAAATGGTTCATTAAATAACCGATCCAAATTATAGTATATTTATAAAACTAATGCCCTATTTGATTTTTTTTTAGATTATATTGCATTTTATGGAGGTTGCATTTGTTTGATGTTTTGGGTGGCGTGGTCATATTAAACGCATCTAACTATTATCATTATATATATTTATTTTCTTTTGCAGATGGCAAAACAAACTTCACAACAGCAAAGGTCTATGTCATCACAAATGCCTTCCAGCTTCCAGTCGTTTTCAATAACGATATTAGCATGGTGTCAGAGAAAACAGAGGATGTAAGTTCACTGCTACATCATGGATAACTGATATATATCGTCGCTGAGATATTTTTTTTCGTATGTAAATTAAATATTTAATGAATATAAGGTATAGGCGACCTTGGAATATTCCAGATGTGCTCAACCATATGCGCCATAATTCCTAAACAGTAAAACAACAGTAACGATTTCTTGAAAATATTTTTTTTCTCCTCTAAGCGTAATTGGCCGCATTTGGGTATCAGAAAATGCTCTAGATCAGAGGTTCTTAACCTTTTCAGCGTCATGCACCCCTTTAAGAATCTGACGAAGGCTATGTACCCCCTTCCCTAGAAATATTCATACAAGCACAATGTGTTTAATGTATTTTTTCATTGGGATTTGAGTGTCTCATACATATATGAAATACACAAAGTATTATTAAACGTGAGAGAAAACAATCTAAATAAAAACACACTCCAATTTTATATAAAACAGATATTGATATCCATCTGATCCTCACGGGCCCCCCTGAAAGCCCGCCACGGACGCTAGGTTAAAGAACCCCGGCTCAAGACAAAACTCTCCATCATACAAACCGTATCTCTTTCTCCCACCAGATCGAAGAAATATTCACGTCGGTGTACCAATACTCGTGTGTTGTGGACAGCACGACGACGCAGACCTCCGACACGGGCGAGGCGGTGGAGGGGAAGACCGTGGTGTTCATGCACTTCATCGACGAAACGCACAACGAGCCCGTCCCGAAGGATGCCATTATTCAGTAGGGATGCTTGGCCCGGCTTCGCGCTCTGTTCTGGGGAGTGAAATCGAGTGAACGGGTTGATTATGATGAAGGCGGTGTTAATGACTGCAATGAATATGGTTACTTTAATGATAATGATATTAACAGTGATAAAAGCAACAATAAAGTGATGATTGTGTGTGTGTGTGTGTGTGTGTGTGCGTGCGTGCGTGCGTGCGTGCGTGCGTGTGTGTGTGTGTGTGTGTGTGTGTGTGTGTGTGTGTGTGTGTGTGTGTGTGTGTGTATGTGTATACATTATATATATATATATATATATATATATATATATATATATATATATATATGTATAATATAATATAATATATATACACGTGTGTATATGTGTTTGTGTGTGTATGTGTGTGTGTGTATTTGTTCATGATAATTATTATGTTAATATTAAAGTGATGATTGTGTGTGTGTGCGTGCGTGCGTGCGTGTGTGTGTGTGTATGTGTGTGTGTGTGTGCGTGTGTGTGTATACATTATATATATATATATATATATATATATATATATATATATATATATATATATAAATATATATATATATATATATATATATATATATATATATATATATATATATATATGATATATATATATAATATAATATAATATATACACACGTATGTATATGTGTTTGTGTGTGTATGTGTGTGTATTTGTTCATGATAATTATTATGTTAATATTAACAGCTTCAAAAATTCAGCTCCATATCTGACTCTTGCCTGCTATTCAATGGATGAGTCACCCCTTAACACTTCCTCCGTTCAACTCGTATCACACGGGGTTGTTGTTTCGCATAACCCACGGCCGTCGTTCCTTCAGATATCCCCTTTTCCCTGCCATGCCCCTTTTATATTACCAGCTTGTGGACTTCCTTCATTTTTCGCTCTCTCCAAAGGTGCAAAAATTCTGATCCATTGTGATTATTCCCCCGCAGGCAGACGACGGACGTGGAAGTCATCAAAGAACTCCGAAGGAAGTTGAGTGAGATTAACCTCAACTTGAACTCAGTCGGAGATGAACAGATCGTTACCGAGAGCAATGACACACTCTTGCTGCAGGTGTTTGTTTTATTTATTTTGTTTATTGATTGGTTTTGGTGTTTTTTTATACTATGAAATGGAGGTGTAGCGTTAGAGATGAGTGTAGGTACGTATTGGTTATTAGTTGTGGGGATTGTCAATGTATTTTAAGTACAAGTACTACAAACATATATATACACACACACACACACACACACACACACACACACACACACACACACACACACACACACACACACACACACACACACACACACACACACACACACACGTATTTACCTATATATCCTGTACTTACGCAGAGTAAATACTCGCTGACATACCCCATGAAATGCTTGGATTATATATGGTACTGTATTTACAAGGATTTCTCGTTTTTGGATTTTGTTTAGAAAATATGCATTGACCTTGTTAACATTGCATTCCATTCATGTTTCAAATTCTGTGTTTATGTCGTTCAAGATAGATTTTGACTCACCTCAAGTCGTGCTGAAATATTAACTCACTGTCATTGGTCTGATGTCATGCGCATTTAGTATTTATTTTGTCAGGTATCGTACGTCTTTTTATGTTTTCATTTTTTTTTACATATCGTACTTTTTCATGACGCATTAAGTTTTTCTTTTGTCTGGTATCGTACACATTATTTTTTTTCTTTTTCGCGTATCGTACTTTTTCATGGCGGATTAAGTTTTTTTCTTTTTCACGTATCGTACTTTTTCATTGCGCATTAAGTTTTTTTTCTTTTTCACGTATCGTACTTTTTTATGGCGCATTAAGTTTTTTCTTTTTCGCGTATCGTACTTTTTCATGGCGCATTAAGTTTTTTCTTTTTCGCGTATCGTACTTTTTCATGGCGGATTAAGTTTTTTTCTTTTTCACGTATCGTACTTTTTCATGGCGCATTAAGTTTTTTCTTTTTCGCGTATCGTACTTTTTCATGGCGGATTAAGTTTTTTTCTTTTTCACGTATCGTACTTTTTCCATGACCCATATACATTAATCCATTGTGTGGTGATGTCTGTATGCACACATGACTAATACTGCCATAATTACAGGTGCTTTTGGGAGTAGTGTCATTAGTGCTGGGTTCGCTAGTGGTCCTCCTCCTCATTGCATACTGCATCAGGACGCGAAGGTAAAAAAAAAATACATACATGTCTTTGAATGTGTTTTGTGAAATTTAGGCAGAAACAGAGAGATAGATTTTTTTTAAATGCAACCATTTGAGAATTGTTTGATGTTATTGTTGTAGTCTTATAATTATGATATTGGTGATAATAATGACAATAAAGATGACGGTAGTAATGATAATAATAACAATAATAATGATAATGATATTAATAATAATAATAATAGTGAAGATGATGATGATAATAATTATTATTATAATAATAGTGATGATCATAGTAGCAATGATTACTACCTTTACTTAACATCTCAGCCTCGAGCGCCAAGTTAAGGTGCTGTCGACTAACACCTTCGGATCCAAGGGGTCGGACTTGAACAGGGCTGGAATGGAAATGGAAGTCGTCCCCGGCAGCAACATGTTCAAGGGAGAAGGAGCGAATCCCATGTACAATATGAGTGAGGATGAGCTGAGGAATGATGACACGAGCAGGTAACGATGAAACGATGGCCTACTCTCTGTCGTTATCCTCTCCCATTATTTGACGCAGTGAGGAAAA